CAACCATAGTTTTGGGCATGTATATGACGAAAAAATGAAGGAACATACAGACTCGTAACCAGCAATTGCAGGTCCATGCTTCCTAGGAATTGATGTTTCTATACGTGCACGGCTACTTGTCACACTGCCAAACAAGACAACAAAGTTAACAAGAACATAAAAAATTGGCACTTTTCATACCAAAACTACCGAGATGACTAAAGTAGAAATACACGCTGTCAAAACACAAACTTGTCTACTGCAATCAGTACCTTCTGCCTACGAGGAAGATATTTGCCAGTCCTTCTTGCATCAGAACTACAGCTAGATCAGCACTGGCAGCAGGATCTGTGCAAAAGATAAGTGAAATAAATTTGAACTCGAAAGAAAAAAAGGGAGAAAACAAGGGATCAAAGCACATGGCATACCCAAACACAAGCTATTTAAAATGAAAAGCCTCTTATGGTTAAGGTTTTGGATGAAAAGTGTGTAAAGGCAAGTACTTATGTAAAAAGGTTAATACAAAGGTCTTAGAGACTTTGACATTGTCTAAGACAAATAGATTCTTGTCTGAACAGCCATGTATATTAAGGAAATAAACTAAAATGAGTTGCAGGCGTAAGAGCATAGATATACAGGAGACAGAGGCAAAATTCTGGAATATCGGCATGTAAAAGTTTGTAACCAATGAATTGGATTTGATGTATACACTAGACCACACGGAGACAAATATTGGAATCATATGTGCCAACAATCAACATAGACACCTTCACAGTTTTGTGACAGATTTAAAAGCATATTTTCCCAGAAAATTAGGAGGTCGAATAAATGAAGCAGCATACCTGAGGCCTGCTTGATTGTATCAACAGCCAATGAGTCCCAACATTCCTGCAAAATTAGCCATGCACACACACTACTGATTACAAATGACGTTTTCACACAAAAAGGGAAAGATAAAATTTTCAAGAAAGTGCAAGGTTCAAATTAATCAACAACACAGTAAGCAGAGTCCTCCAGAAACAACATCAAGACATAATGGTATAGCTTCTACCCGGTTTCCATAACAATGGGATCAGGCATTCTCAAATAACTTTTAATAGATAAAGGAAAATATAATCCAAAAGTAAAACAAAAGCATTTAGTGTCACAGCATCTACAGATACTACCTTACAAATGGTATTCATAATACACCAGCATGCACCACACTACTCAAAAATTAGAATCTAGATACACATACGAGGTAGAAATATAACAGAACTTCTGGAAGATAAAAAGAAAAAAAAAGCATCTACCTTTCTCAATACAAAAGCTCGTTTCAGGTCAAGCTCCAAAGTATGGAATGCACCAATCTGCAATACAACACAAGCTTCAGTACAGAAAAATCTATAGGGTAAAAGTCAGCCTCGCATCTACCTTTACGTGCTCATTCTCCAGGATATTCTTCCCACGTATGCGCAAAACAGACCCATCTTTGTCATAGTCCACTTCCTAGGTGAATAAACAAAGAAAGTTGAAGACAATCAGAACATGAAATTAGAAAAAAGATATCTTCCAATGGCGAAATTACCAATATGAAAAGGCCAAAGACAACCCAAAAGGGAACATATGTAAGCCCTATCAATTCAATTATGCAAATGAATGTAACGAGATACAGTGCATTTATGGTCATTGCGAAATCTAAGCACGATATTTGAAAGAAAAGTAAAAGGGTTTCTAACTTTCTACAGTAGAAAGGTACTAGCTAACGAATACCATAAAACCATACCTCAACTTGAACTTCAAGCTTGAGTCTAACACGTTCAGAGTCTCTTCCTCCACCAGGTACCTCTCTCTGAACTTTTCTGATACCAGGCAGAATAAAATAAAATCTTTCTCAAAAAAGTACTAGATATACCAGTTTAAAAACAGGAATGCCAAACCAAAATGCGAAGTTAACCAAACAGCACATCCCTTTACTCATGTATTGAAAACTTTCGAATATTTAATGTGATTCCAATGAGAAAACAAACAAAGCACTTTTTAAGTAACCCTTCAATGAAAGTTGGCTAAAGATTTAACAGGGATGAAATCAAGAAAGGCAGAGACTTTACCTAAAAGTGACAGCCATTACACTATCACCTGGAGCAATCAGGTTATAAGCATACCAGAGATCATCAGAGTCCTCCGCCACCATCTACTCTCAATTATAATAAATTAGGGTTTGAAAGTAAGAAGCAGAGAAAAGTAAATCCAAGAAGAAGAAAGAATCAATCAAACCTTAACGCTTCCGGGTCCATTACGAACAAAATCCCTGTGAACGATCTTCATCTCAGAGTCTAGAAAGACATACGAACAGAGATTCATCGCAAAAAGTTGCAATTTTTCAAACAGTGTTGGATTGGTGAAGTGAGAAGAGACCATCAATTACGAACCTGTTGGAATAGTAACGGATAGGGTTGAGCAGTCGTCGCAGAGATTCAATCCGAAGAGTTTCGATCTTACAAAATTGCTTCTCAGGTCAAAAACATGGAATTTTATATTTTTGGAAAATTTGTAAAACAACCCTTGAACTTTCCATTTTTTGCAAATCTATCGTCTACTTTCGTCCTTCACCCTTAATCCGCCTTGCGATAATAATAAGATAATTAAAGAGGAATCTGCAGAAGCAATAATATACATTTTTCTCTTTTACAAATCTTGACCATGAAAAATGTCAAATCTAAACTAAAAAGTATCAAAAAAAGAGCAGAAAGATTAGGTCAAGGCTAAGATGATTAATTAATAATGTTTTAAGGAATTCACATTGTTACGATTGACTGTAACTCATATCAAATTGAAGATTGCCTAACTTAATACTATGATTTAATAGTATATATTTCTCAATTTATGTTCCGATTTGCTTTTTTTATTTCTACTAGATTTTGACCCACGGTAAGCGTTTGAATAAATAATAAAATATATTTTTAATCGATTTTAATATGTAAATATATATGATAAAGTATATGATTTCTACTTATAAATTTACAAAAAGCGTATGCATTGTGGATAAATGTAATAAAGTTAAATTTTGTTAGTTTACAAAATCCAAGATTAGTTTTAATATTTATTTTTATCTGCAAAATTAATCAAAACATATGAAAATGTTATTTATTTCAATACATTTTAAGTATAAAATTAATTTTTATTATTCGTGTAAATTATAAGGCATGTGATAAATCAGATAAATTTTAGAGTTATAGGAATTTGTTACACATAACGAACTAAAAACAATATATGTTTTCCAATAAGAATGTGAATATTTGTAAGCCTAGTTATATATATATAATAGAATATTATAATTAAAATATTTGTATATATCATATTAATCTAAAGTTTAAATACATACATCCGCAATAAATAATATTGTTACAAATATAATAATAAAAAGATTTTTAAGATACAAATAAAATGAAAATAGATTATATGGTAAGCTAAATATTACATTTAGTTGAACTTAGATTTGTAAAACATGTATTAATATGTTTATGTTATAAAATTAATGAGAATATGTAAAAAATTTTATATGACATATAGATTTTTTAATTGAAATGTTCTCATTGGTTAATTTGAATATCATGTTCCTTAAAACTCTCTTAGGATGATATCTAAGATTTTTACATAGTGTATCCTCTATTAATATAAAGGATTTAGTAAATTTAAATAGCGATATGTTTTAGATCTGTTTCTTCAATAAACAAAAGACTTACTAGTATATACTTATTTAGGAGTTTGACCCAGATTATGTTTGTGATTAAAACAAAATGAATATTATAAAGAGAATCAAGTCAGTTACACTAAAGTAAAAATTTAAGTATATTTGCTAATCTTAACACAAAATATACTTGCTTCTAGAAGAGAACAAGTGTTGTGTTTCTTGACAGCGACCTGAGTGATTCTCTAGTTGTGCGCGTACGACGCGCTTACTTTTCTCCTTTTTAATTTTATAAAAAAAAAAAAAATCCATGAGTCCGAGTAGCAAACTTATCATATCATATAGGGGTTGATTGGTTTATCCGCTACCACCCGTAAACACTGCATTTATGGGAGGTAGCGGTTGTTGACGGTTGATAACAATCATAGAAAATGCTTATACCGTTTCGTGTCGTTCCAAACCTCTCAAATCCAAAAGCTGTTTCCCTCGAGTATTTACGGTTAGATAATTACAAAAATAAAAATTGAATTTTTTAATAAAAAAAAAGATTTACTTAAAATTTAAAAAAATATAATAAATTAAAAATTGATATTTTAGTAACTATAATTACGAAATATATCAACAATTTAAAACTTTCTAACTAAAACTTAATAACCTATCATAATTTTTTTATTATAAATCTTCAAATCGTAAAATTTTCTATAAATTGTTCTTGATCACTGATTAATAAATCTAACAAACTAAAATGTTCAAAATCACATTAATCTCTCTAAAATAAAAAAAATTATCCATTAAATTTATAATTTTCATCTTTTCTTGTCACAATCATAACTTTCGTCTAAATTAAAATTTTTAAAAAGAAACATAAGAAATATATTTATAG